ACTTAACAAATTCAACAATATTTTCAAATTCAAATCGTAAGAGCCAACAGCAGAATTATTCAATGTCATGAGATGATGGAAAATATATGCACTTCAAATTGACAGCACAAAGATAAATAAAAGAAACAAAGGGTGTATAGAGCGCTGAAATAGAAAAAATATAGCAAAGACACCGAAGTATATAAATAGCTTATTGATACTTGCTTAATATCTAACCTATTTACTGGAGTAGAAACATAAACAAAAGATAAAAGCATGATAATTACATAGAACATAGCTAATCATTTTTCTAAGGTGCTAATAAGAGAATCCACGTCGACTCTAGTGCTCACTAATTTCGGCTCTTCATTTGGCTTTAACCGTATGTAAATTTTCCCGCGGATGGAGAACGCTGATGTCAATAACTTCTTCCTCTTAAGCTCAGAAGCATATGACATTACTTCTCGCAGCATCTTAGGTAAGCTCTCATGCACGTAAATCATCCCGCTACCTGGCTGACCAATATTAGAGAGTGCAAGCGATCTCTTGTTTGTTTTGCAAAAAGCACCAATTGATCTAAAGAGCTGACTTCGATCACGCAGAGAGTATAGCTTCACAACAATGGGCGTATGGTTGTTGGATTTTTGCATTCTGCCTTTTACACTTCTTATTCGAAATACATCACGCAGAATTCAATAAATAATTTCACGAATGCAACACTGCTCTTCATTTGACAGTTTCCATGAATTTGCCAGAAGAAAAGCTTTGAACTAATAAATCCTGCAAATTCTAACTGAGTGTGAGCATTTTTTACTCGAACGAAAGTGCTCTTGTTTACAGGAAAATTGTCTGCTGGAACGCTTTTCGGACTAAATCCTGCAAAACCTTCAAATCTTAATGCTGCTGGAACGCAACTCTTTGAATAAATTTGACATGATCTTATACTTTTATCCATTATACAGGGTGTCCCAGAAGTAACCTGCCAAACTTTAGGGGAAGGCAGGTGGGGTGGTGAGCTCCATGATAAGCAAAAAACTTTCAGGTAAAAGTGTCACCGTTTTTGAAATATTTAAATTTTTTTGAAAAAAAATCGTGCCTTTTCATGTATTTTCTTTAGCTGCATCTACAAACAAGGCTATACTTAGTAAACTTTTTATGTAAAATACGTTCAGATAGTTGCTTCTCCATACTCAAATGCAATGTAGTTAAAATATATTAGGGAACCATTATAAAATTAGGACTATTTGCGATTTTTAAATTTTTGATATTTTCTTCCCCAACTTGTACTGAGCAATAACTTTACATTACATAAAAAAATTGCTCATTTAATAGATATTTCAGAAAGGTGCCCCTCTTACTATTTCGAATAGAAAAAAAAAGTTATAGCCGATTTTTTGGGTAAAGAACTGAGACACGCTAGAATGTATTTAATAGATTTAAATTTAAGTTGGTCTTGTTACCGACCAATGACATGCTAAATAGTACAAAGTAATAATGTACTTGCTCCTGACATTATTTTGTGTTACTTACCGGAAATAATGAAAGTGGATTTTGTGAAATTGGACCCTTCGAACATTATGTTATTAATACTACAGTATACGTCACATGAATATGCGGATATTCACCTAATTTACGGTGAAGCTTGCTGTAATGCCAGAGCTGCTCAAAGACTCTATGCAGAGCGATACCCAAATCGTCGGCATCCGGGTCGTGAAGTATTCGCCCGGACCCATAGAGATATATCTGNAAAAAAAAAGTTATAGCCGCTTTTGTGGGTAAAGGACTGAGACACGCTAGAATGTATTTAATAGATTTAAATTTAAGTTGGTCTTGTTACCGACCAATGACATGCTAAATAGTACAAAGTAATAATGTACTTGCTCCTGACATTATTTTGTGTTACTTACCGGAAATAATGAAAGTGGATTTTGTGAAATTGGACCCTTCGAACATTATGTTATTAATACTACAGTATACGTCACATGAATATGCGGATATTCACCTAATTTACGGTGAAGCTTGCTGTAATGCCAGAGCTGCTCAAAGACTCTATGCAGAGCGATACCCCAATCGTCGACATCCGGGTCGAGAAGNCATCCGGGTCGTGAAGTATTCGCCCGGACCCATAGAGATATATCTGAAGGTAAGCAATTTTTACACCTTTCTTGTTTGATGCCATTCTTCTTTTAACTATCATTTTTACCTTTTTTAAGGTCGCATACATGGAAGGCGTGGCGGCGAGACAGGGCGTCCTGCAACGGTAGATGTTAAAGTTGTGTTAGAGGAAGTGGAACTAGGTCCATCGACTTCAGGGAGAATGATGGAAAGACGGACTGGAATACCAATAACTACAGTTCACAAAGCTTTAAAAGACCATCCCTACCACATTCAACGTGTTCCGGCTCTACAAGAGAGAGATCACCTGTCGAGGGTTAGATTTTGCAGTGAAATGTTGCGAATGCATGTTTCAGATCCCAACTTTTTTAATAAAATAATTTGGAGCGATGAATCATCATGCAAACGTGATGGTTATTTTAATTTACATAACCTTCACAGTTGGCAGATAGACAATCCTCACAAAATGAGATAAGATCGTTCGCAGTTCCAGTACAAAATAAATTTATGGTGCGGTATTTTTAATTGTCAGATATTGGGACCTGTGGAACTGCCGCCAACGCTCAACTCTCACAGTTATTTAGAGTTCCTTCAGGAACGGCTTCCAACTCTTTTGGAAGATGTACCCTTAAACCTGCGGCGAAGACTATGGCTGCAAAATGACGGGTGCCCTGCTCACTACGGGCGTGAAGTAAGAGCTCATTTAGACGAAACTTATCCTCGCCGATGGATTGGACGATACGGGCCAATCACGTGGCCCGCTCGATCGCCAGACCTGAATCCATTAGATTTTTTCTACTGGGGCTGTCTTAAGGAAAATATGTGTTCAAAAACAATTCAAAACGAAGAGCATTTGCGGGAACAAATAAATGGAGCTGCTGCTGAGATAGCCCAATTGAGTTTAAGATCTCTAAAAGCGTTTTTTTTAAAAGGTGCCGAGCTTGTATTAGAGTAGAAGGTCGCCAATTTGAGCATATTTTATCAATAAATGAATAAATTTTTCTGCAAACAACTCATGTATGTTTTATTTCACATGAACCCATCCTTCACAAAAAATATTGGTAGATATAGCCCTTGTTATTGAATCCCGGTAGGTAACATAAAATAATGTCAGGAGCATTTAATAATGTACCTTTGTACTATTTAACATGTAATTTTTCAGTAATAAGAGCAAATTCAATTTAAATCTATTAAATACATTCTAGCGTGTCTCAGTCCTTTACCCACAAAAGCGGCTATAACTTTTTTTTCTATTCGAAATAGTAAGAGTGGCACATTTCTGAAATATTTATTAAATGAGCAATTTTTTTATGTAATGTAAAGTTATAGCTCAGTAAATTTTTTTTTCACCAGAGATAGTCAAAGTTGGGGAAGAAAATATCAAAAAGTTAAAAATCCCAAAATAGTCCTAATTTTATAATGGTTCCTTAACATATTTTGACTACATTGCATTTGGATATGGAGAAGCAACTATCTGGAAGTATTCTACATACAAAATTTACTAAGTATAGTTTTGTTTGTAGATGCAGTTAAAGAAAATACATGAAAAGGCACGATTTTTCTTTAATTCAAAAAAATTTAAATATTTCAAAAACGGTGACACTTTTACCTGAAAATTTTTTGCTTATAAGGGAGCTCATCACCCCGCCTGCCTTCTCCTCAAGTTTGGCAGGTTACTTCTGGGACACCTTGTATATAAATAATATACTTTTCATCCATTCTTGCTCGAATAGTGTCTTTGCTTGGCACTTTGTACAATGAAACCAGCCCCGCCTCTATTTGTGGATAAGTTATATAGCTTATATAACTCAATTAGGTAAAACCAGCGTTGCCGCTTTGATAATTTGTTTACCAAAATTGGTAATTTTTAGCATTATTTATAAGATTTGGTAATTTGGTAACTTATTTTTCAATTTGGTAACTTTTTCAAATCGGTCCTACATGTAACATAGGTCAAAACAAGTTCTCATTCCACATTGGGAAGTGCCGTAGAGTTCCCATTTATAAAAATACAAGGTAATCCTGAAAGTATCGCAAGGCGAAAAATTCTTTAGCATTCCTTGGTTAATATAATTGTTTGGTCTCTAACAAACTGCTTGAAAGTGGCTATTGCTTCATTTACTGTGCCCTTTTCCATAAGGTTGTGGATCGTCCTACCATTCCTTGTCAGTTCGTCAGCTTTGCAATTGCGATCAATATTTCGGCGTAACCCGGCAACCGTATGAGTAGAATTCTGTGTAAACATGTACGTTCTATGTAAATATGTACGCTAAAAAATCTACGGCATTCAGTAGGGGACTTCACTTTGTCTATGTATGAGTCGCAAGCTTTCAGGACTGCCTTCAAGCGTTGAATTTTTAAGATATTTTCGGTCACTTGTTGACATATGTATGTATGTATATTGGTCATAACTGGACAAATGTTGATTTTAAAGTGCTCCAAATGGTGCCAAGTCGGATGATCTCAGCGGCCAAATGACATCCCCTCTACGGGAAATTATGCGCCTAATATGTAATCCTATGTTGCAATGAACCGTACCCATGACACTGTGAATGATCAGATGTCTTCAGTTGCTTTGTGGCCTGAGCTTTGTATGGATAGAGAAGTATATATATCCAAATGGAAAACATACCCTTATCAGTCATAAGACAGTACCATGTTCTTAAAACAACGCGCAGTCGACAAATTTGTTTCTTCGGGCACACACGTAAATATAAAAACTATAGCTCAATGGAGCCGCTGGTTACATGAAAACCTTGGTGTCTTCGGATATATATACGGATTTTTTGTTGAATTTGGTAACTTTTTCTAGTGATTTTGGTAAAAAATAAAAAATAAAGTTGTGGCAACACTGGGTACAACCAAACTCGCTATCGTATATTCTTGCTAGCTAACTTTGTTGCTGCTTTCATGTGCAAAATTGTTCGTTAAACGACCGGAACTCAAACATAGCAAGTAGCGAAGTGGCGAATCCATGACGGCTAATATTATCTTGTATTTTCATTAACTAGTTCGGCAGAAAAAGTATGAGATTATTTTTATATGAGCCGCTTATTTTGAAAGTGGCATAAGTCATTTCATACCTCTTATGTTTAAATAACCTGTTACTTGTAACTGAATGCATCTGTAAATGTTATAGCGTCATAAACTAATGACAAAATCTTTTACCTTTGGTTGATGAAGTTGAACGAATAACGAATAATAATGAAACAGGGTAATACCCTTCAACCTAAAACGTGTGTTTTCGTCCATGTAAAATCTGTCAAACGAAAACCAGTTTTCGCTGAAAACTATTTGAGTACTCACGTTCCACCCATTCCAATCGGTGTCTGCACTAGTTTTTTTTTCGATTATTTATCGAAGTCGAATTTGTTGTTAATTGCCTGGCCAAAGTAAAATAAGAAGGAAAGTAAAAGGTTGTTAATGAAAAGAAAATGAAGGAAAAGTATTTTGGTTCTGTTTTTGTGTAGCAAAACTGTAATCAAAGGATGTAAGAAATCTCAACGGAAACACTAACCACCGGTGTAAACAGCCTTCAGCCCACAATCCCAAAACTCGTTTTCAAAGTGTTTTCTTTGTCGGTCAGAACATGGTACAAAGTAAAAGATTAAATAAAAATTATATTTGTATGCATTTGTATCTACATACATATGTCCGTACATACATATCGTCGATGTTTTTGCAAAACCGCCCATCGCCCAATCGCAAAACCGTCTATCTTACGGCACTCAAATTTTACAGGAGAGCGAAAAAACGGTTTATTATTTGAAGGCATTACCTTGATAGGCGGTATTTTCTCTAGCTATTATTTGACAAATCTGTTGTTTTAATAACGACTTAACGATTTTTATGCATAAACCTCGATGCCTGGAGTTCATGGTTACCAAATTTCATTTTTGCCACAATGGCTATTTAGGCGGTTTTGCAACTGGTCGATGAACGTTTTAGCAAAAACATCGACGACATGTATGTAGCTTAACAAAGTAGAATGTAACTTTACCGTACACATTTGGCCTAAACGTCGAAAATTCAGTGACGCAAATATTTTTCCGCGCACACACACTTTCAATTTTTTGGCTCTCACAAACTGCATGAATGGCGGGTATTGAGAATGGGGAAATTATAGTTGACATGGGCGTTGCTGATTTCGCCTGCTCTTCCTTTTAACCCCCTTACCTTCTCCTTGTACATAATATTATTTACCTTTTATAAGTGTATGTATGTATGCCTCTGTACGTACATACATATGTACAGCGTCGGATTTAAGACTTTTGGGCCCCTGGATTCATTCTGTGATGCAGTCCACCGGTAGTATTCCATGGCAAACCATGATTTTAGTTTAGCAAAGTTGTAAACGTAACCAAACTTAACACGTAAGAATTACGATTTTCTATTCAATCTTAAAGTGAATGTTTAAACCACATTGGAAGGGTATTTGATGAAGAAACCCGTTTTAACTTTTCGCAAGAGTATCTCCTTAGATTCGGAATAAAAAGATTAATATTACAGTACAAGTAAAAATAATAATAGATTGGCGCTTACACATATGTTAGTGTTTGGCCGAGCTTCTCCTCCGATTTGTGGCGTGCGCCTTGATGTTGTCACACAAAGCGGAGAGACCTACAGTTTTACGCCGACTCCGAGTGGCGATTGTATTTTTAAGAGAAGCTGTTTTTCATGGCAGAAATACACTCGGAGGTTTGCCATTGCCTGCCGAGGGACGACCGCTGTTAAGAAAAAACTTTTTTTCTATATTTTTTGCGATGTTGGCTTGGCCGGGGCTTGAACCCAGGCGTTGCGGAGTGGAAGCGCGCATTGCTTACCACTACACCACGCCGGCCGACGAAGTAAAAATACAGTAGCTAATTTATACTTATCGGTTTCCGTCTAATTTCCATATGAAATCCTCGGCAAAATGTCATTTTCGATGGTCAAGAAAGCAAAACAGTGCAATCTGTTCTCCGGCTGGGAGTCAGGGTTGCCAACTTTTGCATTCTTCAAACCGGGACGCACACTAACTCTGTTCTTTTGCTTGTCCGCAAGTGCATGAAATTGCGCAATTTGTATTTATTTGGTTGGTTCTCAGGCTGTTGAGAGCCACTTTGAGCGGTTAATATTTGCTTCTCACTAGCCCGAAGTCGGCCGGAGCGAGTTTGTGAAAACTGTNATTTTTATTCATCATTCAAGTAATTTCAAATAACGAATAAATTTTTATTCATCATTCAAGTAATTTAGAATGATGAATAAATTTTGATTCATCATTCAAGTAATTTCAAATAAGAATAAATTTGTATTCTTCATTCAAGCACTTTCGAATGATGAATAAATTTTTATTCAGCATTCAAGTAATTTCAAATAACGAATAAATTTTTATTCTTCATTCAAGCACTTTCGAATGATGAATAAATTTTTATTCATTATTCAAGTAATTTCAAATAACGAATAAATTTTTATTCATCATTCAAGTAATTTAGAATGATGAATAAATTTTTATTCATCATTCAAGTAATTTCAAATAAGAATAAATTTGTATTCTTCATTCAAGCACTTTCGAATGATGAATAAATTTGTATTCATCAATCAAGTAATTTCAAATAACGAATAAACTTTTATTCTTCATTCAAGCACTTTCGAATGATGAATAAATTTTTATTCATCA